AACTCGTTTATGGAGCATCAAAGTACATAAACACTAACTCATGCATTTGGGTTTTACTTAAGTAGAAATGGACAAACAAATTAAACTTAGTGCCCTAAATCCTCGGCCCACATGTCGTCTACATACGATAGTGGTCAAAGAGACAAAGATTTGTGTTCCACAAGAACGTGCAAAGAGAGATACTATATCAAACAAACGAATCAACTGAAAAGTAGCCTTACCATCGAGGTCTAGGACTAGAGAAATAGGAGGGCAGCTTCGGGTTTGTTTAGGAAGCAAGACCGGCCTGAAAGTCGGGACAACAGAAGACAAGTTTGGCAAATTCTTGATAAAGAGATAAGGATCAAACTCGTCGAGTTCCTCATCCTCTTCATCCTCCATGCATACCGAGGTTATAAGGGAATCTTGGCCACCCTCGTCAACACATTCCAGCTTCGAGCTCTTCATTGCTAGATAAATGGCAGAAACTGAATCCAAGTTACAATTTGAATCTATGGAACTTGTACCTAGAGCAAGCAATCGATCATAAGGATTCTGTGCATCCAAATCCCGAGACAAAGCAGAGCCATCGTCTTCCATTAAAAGCCTATTAACATCAACTTGTAACTGAACAGAGTCAGTGTACTCAGAACCAAATGAAACTACTCCACAATATTCAATTGGCCCATTTTTCACATTCATAGACAAAACACAATGCTCAGAACTAACACATCAACAAGCACAAGCTAGTGTTCACCTCAAGAAACCAATTCAATCATGAAACTCACAGATGCAGAAAGAATCAATGTAAATTTGTCAACTTTCAGATAACAACGAGAGGTTATGTTTCACTTTACCTTGTAGGAACTCTTATTCACCTTGTAGCTACCGACAAAACCGAGACTCCGGAGACAATTCAGATCTCGAGTCCGTCAAATTGCAGAAGCTAGCTCAAAGACAAGTATAATCTGGAGAGAAACAAAAACAGATCTAGGATTAGGAAAAGGAGCAAACCCTAGATGAAATCACAAGTACATGGAACCCAAAAACAAAACAGCACCGAGATTTAAAATATCTGAAATGTTAAAAGTTAAAACTTTGGAGCCCAAAAGAAGCAAATTCGAAAATCTCCTCGCGGAAAGTGACAGAAATCAATATTTTAAAACTCGAAAACCGAACCGGAACGAGAAACCCACGAAATCCGATTTCAGATAATTTCCGATTCGTTTTTGAAGATTATGTCTCTTAAAGGGATTTATTACAAAAGCGGAACAGGAAAAAAAAAACAAAGCTTTGACTGAAAAAGACGAAGATAAATCTTATCTTCTCCGCAAATTTCTCAGCAAGAATAGAAAATTTTCCAATTTTTCCTCACCGAAGCGAGTCCACACCAGATTAACTCAACTAAGCCAGAAATTCGAACTGAGATTTAAGAGCTGCAAAGAAGAAACTGAGAGGGGAAATTGAAAAAAAAAAAACTAAACTCGCCGGGAAAAGTACCTCCGATCAAAACGATTTCTTTCTTTCTTCGTCCTCTCTCTCTCTTCGAAAAAAAAGAGTAAAAATTTTCTGGCAAAAGAATTGAAAGTTGCGACTATAGAGTCTTACTGACTTAAACATAAGGGATGAAAAATTGCAATATACGTCCTCGTAGTTTATAATTATTTTGTTAGTACCTCGATAGTTTTAATTGGTATAACAAAACCCATGTATTCATGCATAGACCGGGAAATGATGACGTAATCGCTGGTTGGAGAGGGACAGTCGTCGTAGCCTCGTAGGATAAGTCTCTTTCTCTTAAGAAACTATCCAGTTTACAATTACTAACCGGATATGTGCATACGTTATATAGATTATCAAAATTATATGAAATTTAAAAAGATATGTTTTATATTAGAAACCAGGAGACTCAATTTTCTTTTTCTTTATTTTTGTACACATTATTTTAAAGAATTATTTGCTAGAAATACAATAAAAAACTATAATATACAAACTAACTAAAATCCCCATTTTTCTCTCACTATTTCTTCCCATCTCTCTCTAAGGTT